GTGCCAACAAGGGCTCGGGAATGAAAACATCTGGACCATAATAATGTTAATACTGATATGTTTGTAGAAAAATGTATGAGATTCGTATAACAAATATATACATATTTAGGTATTTGCAGTTTACGTTTTTCTTCTGAACCTTTCCAGATTAGTAAGTAGATATGAGTTATCTTATAACAGCTTGTGTTATTGACATTGCTATTTTAACATACAAAAAAAATGAATTCAAGATAGCGCAAAATGTTAATAATATATGCTGTAATAAGATCTCCCATATCCCACCAAATTCATATATATATATATATATATATATATAAAAGTATAATAATTTTAGATTTATATGTAGAGCTGGCAACGTTGCGGGATATTAATGGACAATCTGGCAATCATGTCGCACCCTCAAAAAATGGCCGCTGACAACCACACAAGTCACCGTGTTGCCAATGAATAGCATGGAATTAAACCTCTTTCAGTGTATATCTTTTGTGACTTAGACAGCCTTTCCTGGGCGTGGGATAGGTAGAGTTGGAAACATACGATGGCCTCCAAGGTCACCCGATTTAAATCCTCTAGATTTTTTATATGGAGGTTTAATAAGGGGATAATCTATACATCTGAATATACAAGTGTCAACCAACTGCGCCAGAAAATTGATGAAGTAAAAAATAAAAATTATGGAAAACGCAAATTCATTTCAAATACTAAAGGACATTTTTTTGTATAGAAAATAATGGAGGCCATTCCGAACATGTTCTTCAAAAGTTAGTTAAATCAAATTTTCTTCCACATTTGTCGGTAAATCGCCATGAAGAGCGACGAAACACAACAGGTTCTGTACTTGTAGGTGGTAAGTATTCTGTTGCGTTTCTTACGTTTATCGCATCACAACAACGAATGTGACATGATACACTCATCGTAGCAACCTGAAATTTTCAGGGTTTATTCTACATGGATTTAAATAGATTTTACAATAAAATGAATAATGAAATACAAACTCAATTTTTTTACCGCCCTCCACAATAGAGGGATGGAAGTAATGTTTCACAAAAAAATGAATTTAATATTTTTTTGCGTTTATTTCTAATAGGCTCTGTTAAAAAGTGACATAACCATTGCTAAAACTAACCATTTAACTCATCTCAGAAAAGAGTCACAGCCCTAAACCTAATGATTTAGTTGTAATTGCGACTGAAAGTTCATTATCCCGTATTTTTTTCGAAATTTCACAAAATTGCAAATATCTCCTGAACTACTACTACTAAAATTTCGGACCACCCATATAGGGGTTCATTCGATAGGTTTTGAGGCCGTCTATCACCTGACTTCCGTTGATCCACTACTAACTTTACACTCTGTACCTATAGTCACAGCTATAGTATAGGATTGACTACAGCAAAACTGGAACTCTTGTGAGCCACATCTCGCATTCTATATCAACGTGTATTCGAGCTTTATACCCCCTACCTTCTCATGCGAAATGTTTGACAGCAGGTAGGGTCTTCCTCGTCCTCGTCCTCCTCCTCGTCCTCCTCGTCCTCCTCGTCCTCTTCAGGCTCCTCAGGAACTTCGGGCACTGTAGGAAGTACATCAGGCTCTTCAGGAGGAGATGAATCATCTGGAATACCTGTATATAAGGATGATACCGTGGGAATATGTGGAAAGGGCTTCGTCCTGATTACGTCTTCCAAATTTACCACCTTCTTCCGAGATTTCTTTATTGGGGCCCTCATGCTCACTCTGCAAAAATGTCAAGTAGATTTAACTGACGCATCGGTATAGCTTAGAATACCACGGTCTAGGAAATTTCCATCGTATGTTGTCTTTAAATCCTGCTAATTATACAAGGTAAAACAAAATAGATAATATGGTTTGAATTTTTCATAACGTTTTCCAAAATTTACTTTTTTTAGGATCTAGTAGAGCAGATTGATGGATGGAATTATCGAACGTTTAGATTGAGAGTTTGAGAAGTCTAGTTTCCATTCATCGGAATCCAGCAATAGTGCTGTAATGAGAGCTGTCAAAAACTATCCGAACCTGTAGTTTCAACGGGATTAAACTACTCACTTTAACCCATTTTTTAGCGGCTCTGTTATCAAATTTTTGAGAACTACAATATAATATCTTTTGTTTTTTTTAACACGCTTAGGCCTGTATGTATGCATGTAACGGAGTCTTTGAGCATAATTTTCACCATTTTCCAGAAGTTTATTTAATTTGAAACTTCACACACGTATCAAGCACCCATGACAATGCAATAATTTGATAACAGTTTTCCATTATCCTTATAAGAAAAATTCTTCAAAAAGCAGATTGCTAATGAAAAGTCACGGACTTTAAATGCCGCTTTACGAACATTGAAATCAGAAGCCTCTGTAGCCCAAGTGTTAAAGCACTGGACTTGTAAGCAAGTTGTCGTGAGTTCAATCCTCACAAGAGGCAGATTTTGGTATACTTTTTTTTATTATTTTAACACGCTTTTATCAGCTTGACCTGTATGTATGCATGTATGTATGTATGTCTGGACATCAGGACCATACTGTATTAAGTCACTTCCATATAACTTTTCAGGAGAACACTTTGAAGGTTTTGATTACCTATATTATTTTCTTAGAACTGCACATAGTTGAATTAATTACTGTATATCGTAAAATGATAACTGCTGTTGAATTTGGTATTAAATGGAGTTTATTTTCTAGTCATCTGTTAAATTAAAACAATATTTTTTCATTTTTATGTGACTTAATACAGTCTGGTTCTGAACTAGGACTTAATATTTGGTGACATAATATCAAATTATGTGACATAATACTCTATGGTTCTGGACTTTTGTTGGAGGATTTACATGTTGGGAAATATAAATAAAAAACATTTGAGAAAAATAAAGTTTTTTTCATTCAAATAAAGAAAATATTGCACAAAAAATCGTCTTTGTATATTTCATCTGAGTTCCATGGGTAGCCTTTAGGTTTCCTCGTCTGCTTCGGCTGATCCATGGGATAGGTTGTTGAAAAAGTTGTGGAATCGTTTGGGAACTCATTTCAGTGTTTTTTGAAGATCCAAGAACTTTTTTGTCGTAATGGGCCTCGTAGATTCTCTAATAGCTTCAGGCATATAAAGTTGAGATCCGCTTTTCTGTACTCGCCGTGTCTTTATGGTTCAGATTTGTTGAAATCTACTTGCTTGAATTCTGTATCATCAAAAGCGGTTTTAAAGTATAATATTCCCATTGAGGCAGCAAGAAACTTCATATGAACTACTTTTGAAATCAAGAAGGGGTGTCCAGTATTAGTTTTTTTCTTCGGTTGCATAGGAGATCTGGCATTACTTTGGAGATCGTCGAAATTCTTGAAATCAAGTAGTTCCATTTCAGACATATCTATTTTTGGGCCACAGAGTCGTATGAGCTGTTGCCAGTCCCATGAAGTTATAATGGAAAACTTCGGTGAGGTTTTCATGACTCTTTCAATTCGTGCATGGACAGAGTCGACTTCCATGTGCGTATGACCTCTGAGTAAATACTTGTGCTCAATTTGTTTAAGTGTTGGCTTCACCTGCAGTATCAGAAAATAACACATTACCATTTATAAATTTCGATTTTGTGACGGACAATTGTCGCTCCATACCACAATATGGTCAACGCTATCGGGCAGATTTAATACATACTTCATTAAGCAAGAAGCCATCTCATTGCCACCTCGTCCAGCTATGGATTCGTCCCATATGAAGCAAGAAGCAGACTTCTGTGAGCTATCGTACACAGTATAGTTGAATATCCAGAGCTTCAGTAAATAAAAGCTTTGGGAATTTTTGAGCAAAGGCGTAGGTAAACATTTTTGTAAATCAACCATCAGAACCCTTATGTTGGTTTCAGAACATGATTCCGTATCTCTACGCTTTAGTGTATAACGATTATTAGCATCTGTGAGATGTGCTTCGTAAGCTTTTTCCAAACAATGACGCTCTTCTGCAGACGCTTCTTCTTTTAACTTAATCATGTACTGGTCGCATTGATCGCAAGTATCATTATTTGGCTCCTTGAACGACAAATTGAATTCGGAATTGAATATTTCTGAATACAGCCACTGTTTCGGGATATCCTCTTTTTCAATTCCCTTTTCTAGCATATCTTCACAAAAAAGCTGATACATTTGCGTTATATTCAGATGGCTTCCAAGATATTGCCTACTGGATTTGTTTCTAGAATAATGCGATTCTACGCAAGGGAACTTCTGTATGTGCTCTCTGATAGCGTTCCTAACATCCTGACCAATCTTATCTCCAGGTTCGTGTTTGCCTCTTTTATCAGTTTCTATAGCTCCGCCAGTCTATCTTTTTTGTAGTGCTACGCGTACTGATGTTTGAGATATATTCAATGTATTGAGAAAAAATGTACGACAAACATTTACGCGTCTACCATCAATTGTGAAAAAATGTTTTAATGAGGATGTTCTTTTTCTTTCACGAACCGCCGTTCTGATACGAGTGCGTTGGACTGGTAGTTCTTCAACACAGCTGGCTAAAAATTGTCTTTTCAGATTATTTGTAAGATCGGCACACCAGAAATTGGAATGAATCTTCTGACGATCATTGACAGATATCTTGCTATTGCATTTTTTTACACATTTTTCACTGCATGGTGGTTTCATCAGTTTTTCCTTCACTACTTTACCTTTGACTGAAACATATTCCTCTGCACCACACTTCTTTTGCTTCCTTATATTTTTCTGCCATAGCTTACGCTTTGATTTCCTTTTCTTTCCTCTTTTTGTAGGTACGTTCTCTTTAGACTCATCTGCACTGCTGCTGGATTCTTTACCATCACCTTTTGTTTCACGTGATCTGCTCTCTTCATTAACTATTCCATTTGGTTCTGATGTAACAGGGTCTTCGGTTTGGAGGATTGGGCAGCTCAGGTCTACATATTCTACCAAAACATTCTGATTGTCTACAGACTCGAAGTTTTCTATTCCGCTGTTACTCGACATAATAGTCTCTAATCATTTGTCTGCAATCGTAATGCTATCATCTTCACATACTGCCAATATATTTACAGCCTGATGGATATCAGAATTGTGAACGTTTGTCGACGGCACGTTGTCCATAGCTATATTTTCAGACAAGGGTCTATTCTCCAAACACGTCTCTCCACCACTCTCAAAAATTGCTGAAACATTTTCATCTCTTTGAAGGTGTTTGTTCTCAAACAGGTTTTCTCCTGGAATAAAAGTAATGACTTAAGACAAATATTCAAATAATAAAGCCTTCAATTGTCTCTTATATTTGCTGCAGTTTTATGCTATTTCAAACGAGTTCCGCAGACAACACGTTAAAAAATTAGTAAGTATCGCTCTGAAGTATTCTTTCCAAAAATATTATGTATTCTAGCAACAAGAAATCATCAAGTCGGAGAAGAGAAAACTGTGGAGAAGAGTATTATACTAATAGTACAAGTGGAAAAAAGTATACAGCACGATGATATCGTTAGGTAAAGGAAAATGTTGCACAATTCAACTTCTATAAGCTTACAAAATTTAGCTACCATTCTCCAATTTCGAATTATTTAAAGTATGTCGATTAGGATTTCCCTGAATTATCCAACATCAAGATATTTGAATTACGCAACGTCTTCCTTATTAAACCAAAATTGTGATTCTAATCGTTCCTACTATTTCCATTCCTATCCCTATTTTGTACGACTTTCTGATTCACTCCAGAGATTAGTTGGAAGCTATGGTTGAAATAAATCCTGATCCATAAAAATGATTGATAACTTACTTGCGCTTTCGTGAGAAAGTAAGGTTATGTTGACGGAATCACGATTGCAGTCAGCTTCGTCGCTTTTGCAAGCCATCTGTACCATTCTCTTAGCTCGACCTGACATTATAGTTGATCTATTTTGATGATATTCTTTCTAAAGTATAATTATTTATTGCAATCAAGTAGCGTTGTATGCTCAAACCTCTGAAATCAACAATAGTCAACAAGTAACTAAAAGTATTAAGTCCTATACACGCTTAACCTTGCATATGGACTTAATACCTAAACGCCGGACTTAATACTAAAGGAAGTTCTATTTCCTCGGGCAAAACAGTATCAAGGGACTTTGAGACAGTTTGGCTCGTCACCAAATTGGACATAGTACATTTTATACTGGCTTATTTTATACACGGTACCAGATAGGACTTGATACTCAACGCCAATGGAAAGAGCGGGAAAAAATAGCATGGTATCATTCAAAACCTGAAAATGTGAGAAAACTGGACTTAATACCGTATGGCTCTGAGGTCCAGATGTATGTATGTATGAATATACATATATGTACAAGGTGTCCCGAAAAAAGTGTTCAATATTCTACCAGCGGTTTCTAGAGCTTAAAATAGGAAGAAAAGTTTGTATAAACATAGGTCGACAAACGTCCCCTAAGGGCGCTACGGTCTTTCAAAGGGGCTCCCCTAAAGATGGTTTTTCCTTAATATTTCCGAAACGTGTTGAGATAAAGACATACAATTTCGTATTCTAGCCTAGATTTTTATGCTGGATTTAAAAATATTAACAATTTTAGACAGTTTTGTTTGGAAGCGTATGTAACAGGGACGAACTCATGTTATTTTAGCCCCAAAATTTTTGTGTAATTCTATTTATGAAATTCAATTTTAGAATTTGAAAATTTTGGGTTTTCTACATAAAAAAGGTACTCTTATTGAATATCGATAAATTGTGCCATTTTAAATAAAATCAAACTAAAAAATTTGTCACATGATAGGGAATGTACTGCGAATTTAAATGAATTGTTGATTATACATAGTTAGCCATGACTGCAAACAAAAGTTGTTTTGATTTGTTATGACTTATTTTGACGTTAAGCTGGCATTGTTAACAGTGTAAGATTACTAGATTAACATCAAAATTTTTATTAAATCGATTCAAAATGCCAAGATTTACAGACATAGAAATGACTGACATGCATTTTGTGTACGGGTTTTGCAATGGCAGTTCATTGGCAGCCGCAAGAGAATATCAAAGAAGATTTCCCATAGTACCTGGACGTCGAATGTTTACTGATATTCACCGGAATTTGTCAAACCATGGAAGTTTTCAGCGCATGCAGGACTCATGAAGGCCACTGGGAAATCATGGTATAGATATTGCTTTAAATATGTTTGAAAATAATCCGCAAATAAGCATACGAAATGTTTCAGAAATTATGGATAAACCTCGATCAATAGAAAAATTTATGAATACCTATTTGATAGTTATCCTAAAAATAATAATTTTAGGTAGGAAGGATGACAAGAATGCAAGGTTTACATCCTTATCATTTTAAACGGGTGCAGCACGTAACGGAGGCAGATTTTTTACCACGAACCGTGTTTTGCCAGTGAATATTAGCAAATGAAAACACTATTCTTAGAATATTATGGTCGGATGAGTCAATATTTACTAGCATTAATTTCCGTAATATGCATCACTGGTCAGATGAAAATCCAAAAGTTGATCGCTGTACAAATTCCAACATAGATTTTCGTTGAACTTATGGGCAGGAGTAATTGGGGATCAAGTAATTGGGAAGTATCCCAAACGTCTTAATTCAGAGGTGTAGCTGAACTTTCTTCAGAATGAGCTCATGGATATAATACCAGTGGATGTGCACCAGCAGTTTCAAGAAAATATGTTTTTTCAACATGATGGCGCCCCTGCACATTTTGGACGCAATGTTCGAAATTGGTTGAATGTCAATTTTCCAGACAGGTAGTTAGGCCGAGGAGGTCCTATAGCGTGCCGGCCACGTTCACCTGACCTAAATCCATTAGATTTCTATTTTTAGGGGTTATTAAAAGACCTAGTTTACTCGACTGAAGTAAATACTCAAGAAGATTTACTTCAAACAATCCATCAGGCTGCAAATGAAATAAGAAGAAAAAGGTTTTCCACTTTTCGGGCTACGCAATCATTAGTTCGTCGAACAAAATGGGAATTTATTTAAACACTTATTGTAAAGCTAGTTTTAAGTATATCCAACTGTATGTCTTCTTTTTTAAACAAATTTCAATTTCGTTCGTAGAAAAAATTTATTTCTTTTGTTTTTGTCTAAATGTTAGCTATGTTGCAATAGAAATATGTATTCATGTAATATTTACCTATTATTAAATTAGTTTTTTCGTTCTCATGGCTAATTATTCAACAATTCATTTAAATTCGCAGTACATTCCCTATCATGTGACAAATTTTTTAGTTTTATTTTATTCAAAAATGGCAGAATTTATGATATTCAATAAGAGTACCTTTTTATTTAGAAAACCCTATATTTGCAAATTCTAAAATTGAATTTCAAAAATAGAATCACACAAAAATTTTGGAGCTAAATTAACCTGTCCGTCCCTGTTACATACGCTTCCAAACAAAGCTGTCTAAAATTGTTAATATTTTTAAATCCAGCATAAAAAACTAGGTGAGAATACCAAATTTCATGTCTTTATCTCAACACGTTTCGGAAATATTAAGGAAAAGCCATCTTCAGGAGAGCCCCTTTAAAAGACCGTAGCGCCCTTAGGGGACGTTTGTCGACCTATGTTGATATAAACTTTTCTTCCTATTTTAAGCTCTAGAAACCGGTAGAATGTTGCACACTTTTTTCGGGACACCCTGTATATACTTTGAAGTTGAGTCATTAATTTTCAGATAATGATTGTAGAAGGAAGATAAACCAAAATATGTGTGTAAAAATAAAAAAAAAATTAAAAAAAATGTTTACCTTGTTTTATAAAGTATCCTCCCGACAAGTATTTCAGTGCGGACCTGTATTTGATCGTGAGGTCCCCTGTGAGGTCTTAAGTCACCTGATTCACGAGCCCGTTGTACTACATTAACAAAGGCACGAGGGGTTGGTTGCACTCGATTGGGAAACCGATCCGCATAAACATGTGCCATTTTTTATTTCGCTTGAGCCACGCAACAGATACAACTATTCACTGACACTGACTGTATACAAATGAATGAAATAATTCGTTCCAAATTCTTTCGCTTTTTTGTTTCCGATGCGATGAACCGATACGGCGGATTATATCCGTTGTCGCCAAACACGAGCACATTGAGACAGGGCGGTACTCAAACTTCCAAAGGGCTATAACTTTGTTACTTTAATTTTACCAGAAAAATGGTAAAGGAAAAAACATTTCTTTTGATCAGATCTACTCACTGTTAAAATAAATGACTCAACTTCGAAGTCACCCTGTATATATATACACCTTAGGAAAAACCATTGTTATACATGGGAAATCATTTCTTGGCAACAGCGCATCGGCTCGTCTACTTTCATCGCTATTCGTACATATTTCCTACCGTTAACCGCAGACCTGTATCACGAATGAGAATAATAGGCAGATACGCTGTGTTGCCAATTTGAGTAGAGCTTCCCGAATTGTGGGGAATTTAGAGTTAAGTGTTGATTCATTCAAGCTTTTAATCAGCATGGCCTAGACGTTAGAACTTCATAAAGATAACATTGAAGCTGAATGCTGCTGGAGTATAGTGTTTCGAATATTCAAAGCGGAGCGGGACACTATACTCGTTCAATGGGTCATCAAGCCACAGTCTTTTCAACAAAGAAATTATTTTACGAAAATGCGTTAGATTTTTACGATTTTGTCGTCACCACATCTCTGTTTCTCAAAATGTACGTCTATTGTAGAATTTTGAGCGAACTAAGCAAGAAACGTGATCTAGTATTTACTCAACATTACGGATTTCTGGAAATACATTAAAAAATGTGACCTAGATACCTAACTGCCCCAAGCTCTTTAAATATAACACCTTAAACCAGGGTTACCAGGTGCTCAGTCACGTTAATTGTCATGTTGTACTGAGCAAGTCAGCAAACAATCTGGCGTAATAAACGTTAGGAATCATCAGGTATTGCCAGATTCCCGAATACCGGGCACCATAGTAACCGTTATAGTTGTGCTTCAAAGTTGTCAAATCGCCCCTATGGCGCAAATTCGCCACACCAGGCAACTGTGCTATAAACAAACCCTGTTTATCACTACTATTTGATAGTCATATGGTAGCTGTTGCCCTATCTAGCGGTCCATGATTTCTCTCAATACTGTTGTATCTCTACTGGCAACAAGAATAGGGATTACAAAATCATTTATACAACAATATACAAACATGAAAAATATGATTTGAACCATGAAACATTAATACAATTTTAATAGTTTGAACTTTTTCATTTTTGGAATACTCTTATGTGGAATCCGCAGCTATTTTTCCCGAAATTTGGGTAGACTTAGATTTCTTAGAAATATGACATATTGGTATCGGCAACTCTGCGAATGGGAGAAACAAATCGCATTTGTTGAGCGCATGCGTCTAAGCGGTAGGCGCCAGCGCCCGTTCTGCCATCTCTCTCTTTTATCACTCTTCTACTTTACCCCGTTGTCCGTCACACTCCGACGCTGCCAGATATAATCCTACAATCGAGTGTCTTTCATGCACCTACATACTGTTGTATATTTCCATCTCTCTTCCTCATCATAATGTATAATAGTGGTTTTTCCCAAGGTGTATATATATATATATATAGGTGAAAAATTAAAGCTTCCGCCTTTTGTTGGGTACTTCGACAAAATTTAAGCAAAGAGGACTCTTTATACTTTTTTTAATTCTCTCTAGCTTTCAATGGACTTTGCCATCATCATCAGGAGCTGCAATTACAATGATAACAGTAGCAACAAAAGTGTAAAATGAATTTAAATTGACTCAACTTACAGTAGTATGTGAGGATGTTGCTAATTGTTGTTTACGTATAGGATGAGGGAAACGTCCAGTAACATGGTGAGAGCTGGATAGATTGTACAATGGTCAAAATTATATAAAATATGACAAGAACAAGTTAAAAACAGATTAAAAATTATTCAAAAAACATTAGAGCATTACATCGTGAAGCCACTTGATGATTGCACAAATTAGTGGTCATGGAATAATGAGTGAGATGAAACCCTTTGACAGAAGGCCGAAGGATGTCAATGTCTGTGTTGAAAGATGGAACGAATTGTGGGCGTGTGCCAAACGTTGCCAAATCACTTCAGATGATGTGATTTTCAGAATTTTATGTAAGAATTTGTTAAACCGACCAGAGGCAGTTGAATAAACTATATTTTAATTAATGGGAATTTAAATTAATAATTATTAATAAATCGTGAGAAGAGAATTATTATATTTTGAGTGGAATGAAATTTACTGGTGGAATCGGCCAAAACACAGATTCTAATTATGGTTGTGAAGAGTCGAAATTTGGGGAGATATGTAAGTTCTCCAATTTTTCGCAGTTTAGCAAATATGAGTAAATGACACTCAGTTGTTTAACATCTGTCTTTTTGTTGATACAGTTGTTATTCATGAAGATGTGGGACATTTCCAGGAATAAACGTTTGGAAAAGTGTTTTTCTTTATCAAGAACTTTGATACTTGTGTAATTCATAGAATGCCCTGTTGTGTTAACATGAGATGCTAGAGCGCATCTTTCAGGATGAAGCCTAGCATCACTTTTGTGTGATGTAATCCTTCCTTTAAGAGATCTGGAGGTCTGACCTATGTATATTTGGTTGCAGTTGTTGCAATTGATGGAGTAGACTGTGTTGGTTAAGCCAAGCAGCGGGACTTTGTCTTTCATTTTTGAAAAAATGCAGTTTATAGTGAGGACGGATTTGCAAGCAATTCGAAAGTTCAAAGGACTGCACAATCTGATCAGCTTAGGGGTCAGTTCCTTGATATAGGGCAGGACAGCAAAACCAGGTCTGGAGTCCGGGTTGGTGCTTGTACTGTTAGGATTGATGTTATTATTGGGAATTACATCAGTTCCGTTATTAGGGGTTGTGCGACTATTACCTGCATCACCAGAGTTCGGCAAAATATTGGAAGGTGAACTAAATAAGATCTTGTTAATCAGACACTTCGGATAACCATTATTGATGAACAGTTTTGATAGTTTACGTAAATTTGAGGTGTGGAAGGTATTATCTGAGATGCTGATTACCCTTGTTTTCATCTGTTTTACCAAATTGATTTTAATCCCTAGCTTATGGTATGACCTAAAATTGAGAAACCGACCTGAGGCCATAGGTTTCTGGTACCAGTCTACCAATAAACTGTTGTTGTTGGTGCGAATGAGTCTTGTGTCTAGAAAGGGGACAGACAGGTTCTCATCTTCTTTTTCAATGGTAAATTGGATGTAGGGGTCATAGCTGTTGAATTCTCTGACAATACCATCCAGACCTATGGAAGGGAGGCATAAAATAATGTCATCTACGTATTTTTTTATGAAGAAGAGGTTATAGGGTAGTGTCGGAATAACAGTATCAAGCAGATCATCCATGACATATTCTGCCAAAATTGGTGACAGAACAGATCCCATAGTACAACCATGGGTTTGAGAATATATTTTGTTGTTGAAAGAGAAATAATTGTTATGAAAAAGGAATGTTATAATGTTGGTGAAAGATTCTAGAGATATGTTGCAGTGTTGAATTATCTCATTCCAGTGTTTATTAATAGTTCTTGTACATGCATCCAGATAGATGTTGCTGAATAGCGACACCACATCAAGACTGGCGATAATATGATCGGCTGGTATTGTCAATCTGTTGAACTGACGAGAGATTTCAAATGAGTCTTTGATGTAGTAATCATTATCTGCATGTGCTAATTTTAGTGTTGTCGATATTAATGAAGACAAAGCCTGGGTGGCTGAACCTATTGATGCAACTATAGGTCTTACTGAGAGTACAGGTTTGTGAATTTTCGGAAGTGCATAAAATTTGGGAGGGACAGAGTTATAAGTAGTCAAAGTTCTTTTTTGTTCTTGGGTTATTTGTCCAGTGCTGAGAAGTTCCTTAACAATGTCATTACTTTTCTTTTCCACTTTAAGTGTGGGATCTCTATTAATTTCATGATATGATGGGTCATCATTGATGAGATTGTTGCAAAGATCTAAATAGTGTTGTTTAAGCCTTATCACTGTAACATTGCCTTTGTCAGATCTTGTAACCATAAGTTCAGAATGTTGTTTTAGAAATGTTCTAGTTTTGTTTAAAAGGTTGTGATAAAAGGAATGTTTTTTATTAAGATTGTTATTATGATAATAGTTATAGATTAAAAGTAAAAAAAAAATAGTTAATCTATCTAATAGACAAAAGGGAATAAAAATGAAATAAACGTCAGACTATACAGTCATTTTATTAGATTTTAAAGAAAAAGCTATGAACACATATGATATACTGAAAGAAACCCTGCAAACACCCTTTCAATGCTGATACTGTTTGGTATGATTGATGAATAGGATAATTTCCAACATCCAACATTGTTTACCACTGAAAGTTGGAAATTTGCAATAAGAACTTCAAACACTTATTGATGAACAAAATTGTTGACAGTGTTAACACATGTGTATCCTATTCTTCCGAAATTATAACATACCGAATACATACCAACATTGAGATAATCTATGATATACCTACTGAAATAAAATTGATATCAAAATACTAAACCCTTAATTCCATTAATTATAGTACTTTATAATTCTGAACTAGTTCATTTATGGAAAATACTTATTTTTGAAAATATCATATAACAGAACATCAACAGTTCAGCTAAAATAATTAAATCATCAGATCGTTAGAATCAATTTTTCCAAAAATAAACCAGATCAAATTTAGATGAAAATATACTTCTAAGTAACTATTACATTTAAATTAATACTAAGATACTAAGTCTACCAGTAATAATACTTGACGTTTTTGACTTAACTGATTTTAAATTTACGCCAGTATAGAAAAAATCGTGTTTGGAAGCATCATTAATTAAAACATCAAAAATTCAAGTCAGGTTTATATAAAAAAACGGTACTGGCTATTTAAAATCAATTATTTCATGAATATTTATCCTAAACTAAGCACGAAAAAATACTTCACTAATAACAAGTACAGACTATTTAAAAACATTATGCTAAATATTATATTTTAATTTTATAGTAACTAGCTATGCCATATCATAGTCTTTATATGCGGGCATATTTTTGTTGTTGTTTCACCCTTGCTCTTTAGATCTTCATAATTATAAGTCGTATTTGTTCCCCAATAATAAATATAGTAGAATGGTACGATAGAAGATTAATATAGTTTAAAGAACTAAGACTTAATACTGAATAATGAAATGCTTTCAAAATAAAATCTGAGTCTTAACACTTTATCAGAAATCACAGATTCTTTGACGTAGCTACCCACAGTATTTGGTATCCCAAAGCCATGGTTCATAATATAAATACACTCATACACATTTCTCCAAATAAGAGTGTTAGTTCCTGCATCATAGCCATTTGAGACATCATGTATACTGCACGGATTATTGAAAATTAAGATAGGTGTTTTAAAAAGAAAAAGATTGACGTAAAGTATTATAACGTTCTGATGATTTTTTGTTGAATTATAGGCGATTCAGTATACAAAACGCCCAAATTTGACAGCCTGCCAGTTCGCCATCTTGACTATTTCAACTGTTATTCTTACCTTGAAATTTAGTATTTGTGCGTCAATTTCAGCCTCTCGAATTTCCGCTTGTCAACTTGACACGTCCAAAAAAGAAATAGGGGAAACCTTTCTGGAAAGCACTATACACTTAAATCAAAGGACTTATACTTAATAGATGTAGTATTCGCGGTGACAATTTTTAATCTTCACATTATTACATCATTGAAATGTACCTATGTTAACTTTAACCTTGACCTTGAGGTTGAAGTTCTAATACAGGTTATCTAATGTGTCATTTAAGAGACATTTATGCACCTGTCTCTAAGGGGGGGATTAAACTGTCAAAATAATCGCAAGGCCGCGTATTATATTGACATATATACATTTTATCAAAATGGTTTGGAAATAATCTTATACCCTAAAAAGGAGTATACGTTTTAAAATTATCTGAAATAAATTTTATTTTTGGCTCCAAGGACAAGGTTCAAGCTATTTTTCTGACTTGTTTTCCAGTCTTTGGCGATCTTAAACTACCTTGAGATATTTAAATGTAGAAATAAAAATAAGCCACCGATTTTAGAATAACAAGATATGCAATATGTTTATGTTAAATGTATGCATTGAAGAGCGTGACTTCTTTTGGACGCAAGCAAAATTTTTGAGAGGTAATGTGTACGAACTTTCCGGAATACAGTGTTGACAAAACTATTTGAAGAGCGGATGTTAGCAAATTTGCCCGCGGGAAGACAAGATCCTAAAAATCCTCAGAAGCGTACACAGAATCACTCTAAATATGCAAATTTTACTGAGTGTGCGAATGTTTTGGAGTTTCTAAGGTACATAATAAAATAATTTATTCCACATTATCCCTCAAGTATTTCCCTCACCTCCTAAACTTTCAAAATGTAGGTTATCTGTCACTTTATTTGAATTGTCAATAACTATTATTTTTCGAGGTGATGAATTTAAACACGATTATCTGCTTCAATGTTTATGTCGGTGATGGTAAGTTTAATAGAAACTGATTTCTTCTATAAATTTATTTTACTTAAAGTTATCGTCTTGAGACATTATGAAAATAATAAAAAGAAATCACGCTCTTCAATATGTGGTTATAGTTAAACAGGCATTTTTAAGTATTTTAGAGTTGCTTCATTAACATGTATATCGAGAAATAGACAGAGACTGCTAGTACAAAAATTACAGCAAATATTACAAAACTTCTAAGAAACATTAGTCTGCAGCGATCGCAAGGAGACATCATTCCAATTGAAGTTAAAGCAGAAAAAAGTGGACCAAAAAATTAGATGTTACTTGAAGGAAACCAAGTAATGATTTCACAAAAGTGTGAAGAGCCGAACGTAGACAAAGGTGACTGTTATGAACAACAAGTCAAGCTTCTGTATTGTTCACCAAGTTGGCAAACGTGGAATGAAGTTCGATGTTGAGTTGTCCGCTGCAGCAGACTTAAGACGTTACTCGACCTGAAAAAATAGTTTGTTATCACATGGTTAAGGAGATATTCTCCATAGTAGACATGGAGATCGTGAAAAATAAAATGGAATTTCTAGGAAATAAATTTAATGGTCGTGTTTTATGTTCTCAAATCGACAACGACTTCATCACTCTTATACAGAACTAGCCGAAGTTCATTTTTCCAATTTCACGTTCTTAGTAGAAAACGATACCTTGAGGGTTCGCTCATTTAATGTAGAAATGCAGAAACCCAGAGAGCTATGATAGTGATGTTCTGTATTGGTAACGAATAAGCCGATACCCAAGGCAAAAGTATTCTCAAATACGAATGATCCTGAGTAGAACTACGAGCGACTTAAGCTCGTACTGAAGGAGTGGCCAAGAGTGTCTCAGATTGAACCGACGTCACGTGAATTTAAGAATTTATTAATATAATAAATATTTTCTAGATCTAGATAAAGACTTGCTCAATGAGTTTTTGGAAATTTCTCTTCTCGAACAATTGATTTATTTACCAAAAGGTGAGGAAAAGGTCTTATTTTTGAATGAAGTACTATCCAATATCTTCGATGTAAAGATAATTCAATTTAAAGATCGAAAACCCCCCATGGTTATTTGCAATAATGTATTGATAAAAATATCAATCTAACTGAAGTGCTTTGGAAAAAATTATTAAATTTAAATATTACCAACAAAAAAACAGGTTGTATTCCCGATCAGCTGAATAATCCGGATGACATAAATAACCATGTTCTTCAGATCTCTGGAGCAAGCTCATCAATAGACTATGACACTTTGGATTACTATTATAGCAATAGGCGTACTAACATCAACACTCTTTTTGAATTTCACACAGTTTCTCAGGATGTCGTTAAAAATGCACTTCTTAGAATTAAATCGCTTGCCATAGGTGCTGATGCTCTAAATCTTGAAATGATCTTATTGTATTCCCATAAAATCTACCCTACATTACAAATATAATAAACTCCTGTATTTTAGATAGAGAATTTCCAGACTCATGGAAAATTGCCAAAACTATACCAGTATCAAAGAAGTCTGATATTAACGACTACAATGATCATCGCCCCATAAGTATTTTACCAGTGCTATCAAAACTCAGGGAGATTATATTGGACCAACAAATAAGAGACTATTTAACTGAGAACAATTTGTTACCAGACCATCAATCGGGATTTAGGAAAGGATTCAGCTGCGAAACTGCACTGTTAAATATAACTGACGACATCTTCAAAGCAACAGATTCCAGAAAAGTCACCGCTCTCGTACTCTTGGACTACTCCAAGGCATTTGATAAGCTAAATCACGAAATGCTGTTTGGTATTTTACACTATATAGGGTTTTCCAAATTTGCTAGCACGCTTATGTGCCACTATTTAACTAACAGAACACAATATGTAGAAACAGGTAAACGTATGTCCTCCAAAGATATCATCCCCTCGGGTATTCTACAAGGCTCTATTTTGGGACCTCTGATTTTTAGTATTTATACCTCAAACCTTTCCCAATGTCTCCGAAGTTGTCAGGTACATTTATATGCTGACGATACTCAGCTTTATTTTTCTTTCAATCCTAACGAGAAACGTGATGCGTTGGCCATTATTAAGCGAGGTATTGAAAGCTTATTTCTATTTTCAGAAAATCATGGTCTACAGATTAATGCAAGCAAATCACAACTCATGTTATTTGGCAGATTGAAAGACAATATTGAGCCCACTTTTCATGTTAAAATAAAAAGTGAGTCTATACCTTGTTCTGCCATTGTAAGAAATTTGGTAGTAGAGGTTGACTTATATCTAAGATTTAAGCCTCATATTAATAAATGTATCCAAAAGTTCTATATGCTCATCGAGATGTCCTCCCTGTTAAACTTAAAATATTGCTTTGTGAAGTAGTAGTACTCAGCCATATTAATTTTTGTAACAGCCTTTATGGGTTTTGCTTAGACAAGATTGACATGGATAGAACTGAACGTGTACAGAAGTCCAGCCTATGATTTATTTATGCCATACGTTAGTTTGAAAGAGTTTCACATAAGTTGCATGTTAGTTGCATGTATGTAATCTTTTTCAGAAAATTATGGCTACATATCACCTCCTCCTCATCAAACTTCTCTTTTTTGTAGATCTTTCTCATACAACATTTACCTGCTTTACAATCAAATTCCTAACGCCTTTAAAATTCCGCATCCAAACCTGTTTGAAATCAAATATAAAACATTTATTTTTGAAAGCGACCAAACCAATGAAAAGAAAATTTTTTCTTGTACTATAACTCGCATTTATTATTCGAGGCTTTCTAATTTAGATCTTCCTTTTTATATATATATATATATATATATATATATGTATTATGTATGTGTATGTATATGTGTATATATGAATGTGTACTAGGTAAAGGGCTGAACTTGTATCATTTTTAAATGCCTTCAGCCCTTTTTTGTACCATATCGCATTTAAATGTATTTTGCTACTATTTTTACCTAACTGTATGTTGCAAATCGACGTTATTATTATTATTATATTCTGGATTTTTATCAGATATTCTATAGTCACCCTATTTTACGATACGATCACTCCTGAATGAACATT